GACATCCCAAACCTCACAAGCCAGACCTACGTCTGCATTTACTCTTCACCTCACTATATCACTACAAAACACATCCAACTCCAGCAGAGACAATTGCAATACGCAAAGTCAGATCGCTGGCATTTTTCTGTTGCGCCGGCGCAGCTTGTGACGAGTGCCTGCGCAGACGCATTGGATTTTCTGTGCGGTTGCGGACGTGGGCTGAGACTCTTTGAGGATTTAGGTTTGCGGGGTAGCTACGTCTCATGACCGTAAGTACCCTAAACAATGGAAGTTGTTATACTGTCTTTCCTTCTGACAATGCCCCGGAACCTTCAGCACCCAAACGCCCTTGCAAGACCCAATGCCCTCAAACCCTAAACTTAAACGCCGTGCCGCTAAACTGTAAAAAAACAGTTCAAACCGTTTGAACCCCACGACCGCATGGACTCTATGACAGACTAGTTGTCTGGTAGGCTCCGAGCTCCACTGTCTGTCAATCTACCCTCGGTCCTAAACCTTCGCTGGTAGACCCTCAACTCAGCCGGAGAACAAGAAACCCAAAGACTTGCTGCTCAGACCCTCAACATGCCTAAACCGCCCATCCCTCAAATGCGAACGCCCTAGCGGTCAAACAGCGGTCAATGCATTCGCATCCGCGATGGCCTGGCTTTCAGCCGTAGACTGCTTTGTGGATGTCGTCCTCTGCAGTATCGGTTTAGGCTTGTGGTTCTCAGTCTTCCGGGCTCAGAGGCTTCGCATTTGTCGGTTCCAGGTTGAGTTGATGAGGTGTAGCGTTTAGGGCGTTAGCCGTAGAGCTACGTACTCTTGAGGAGTCTGGCAATAGGATTGCCCAGCCGTATACTTTTATCGGTATCAGTCTCAATCATGCTGCGCTATCTGAAAACAGACAAACCAAAACACATTAGCAGTGAAACGACCATGGGTGAACATCCTCAACACGTTGAGCCAGTAGGGTGCCCCGACATGTCTCGTAACCACGAACATGTCGTGTCAACACTTCTTTCTGTTAGCTTTGACACCCTCCCCCCAACATACTGTCTTCACGCTTTCTCGTAGCCGAGCCCCCGGCCATCCAGCTCGGCTCAGGTACCATGTAGGCCATCCTCGTGGAGCTTTGGGTTAATGTGGTGTTGGGGCGCATGGCGTGTGCGACTTAGAATGCAAGATGAGTCAGCTGCTGAAATGGAATTTCGAAGATTTTGGATATCTTCACAAAACCTGTAGGCTACTCCTTTCTGTCTCCCAAACCTGGATGGCATCGTGCCCTCTGGCGAATGCTGGTTTCTTTCGTCTCTGACTCCAGAACATTGAACAAAGCGAGAACACAGCATTGGCACACAACCAATGTCAACGCAACACCACTGCCACTGTGAGCAACCTCAGTGGCGTCAACAACACGACCAAACAACAGAGACAAACTCAGAGACAAGTGGCAGTTGATCAGCAACAGCCGAATGTAATAACCACAACGGTCCTAACCGCATCGGCACAATCAAAAGGCGGTCGCAACAATACCAACAAAAAGACGACCCGATGCCATAGATGGTCAAAAGCGGAGGTGGCCGTTGAAGAGCTGAAAGCGAAAAAGCTGCATCTTGCATGTCCAAGTTTCAGAGCGTGACGGCAAGCGCCTCCATCAGGCCGCACCTCCAAAGAGTCAAGACGACTGGAGGCGACATGAACAAAGCAGCCCCGGGTGGCTTTCAAAGCTCGGGTTCCCACGTCGTGGGGGGGACTCTTAAATCGAGACCCCGACATACCTGAATGGCTGAATGGAGCTTGAGCATGATGCTTTTGGGGCTCGATGCCCACGGCCTGGTCCCTTGATCCTAAGAATTCAATCCTTGGACTATCAGGGCCTCGCTGGGAGGTCTATGAACCGTCCAGAGGATGTGAGATCTTATGCTGCGGGGTGCGGAGGCCACTCGTATTGTCAAGTAACTTTGTGGCGAGTTAGGCGACATCTCCATACCCTACACCTCTTCGGACCTTTTTGACGCTGTTCGGCAGCATCACCCCATGTGACAATCGATGCATCTCCGCGGATGGCGGCAAAGGCGCTGCGCGAAGCTGCAAGCTTCCTCGACAGATGTGACTTCGATGCTCAGCTGTGGAGCATAAGGCGAGGTTTCATTGATAAAACAGGGATCTATATTTTGTGTACACAGCCAGTGGACAATCCGACACTGAACCGCAACTCCACCCGGAAGATCCTAAATTACAAACATGACAAGAAACCTCCCCAAGGTGCCGGACCCTCTCACACGGTTAGCCTCACCACAGAAACTCCCTGATTTCAGCACACGCCGGGGGGCCGAACATCTTGCAGCTGGTCGGAAACTCCTTCGCTGGCCTGGGTGGCCCCCCATCACGGACCATGGATGTGGATGCTCTGTTCACAAGACGCATGATTCCACTGACTGGGGATCCTCCACTAGACCTTCCGATTCTGTACTGTCAAACCTGCGGCCTCGAAATGCCACCCCTTATCCCTGCGATGCTCAAGCATAAAGTCTAGCTGAATCGCTTCACCGCAATCTTAAACTAGTAACCACATCTCTCTGCGCCGTAAGGGCGGATCTCGTTAGCCCAGCGACTCCACCCGACGCTGCGTCGCCCCAAGTGACCACCCTGCCATCGCCTGAGCTGACCACAGGCGCAGAGCAACAACTTCAACTGGGTTCTTGTTAATGAATTAAATTCCTTGACAGGAACCCAGTCAAAAGCTGAGCAGCCCCAGATGAAACCTAAACTGCAACGCCCTGGGCTCTTCACCCAAACCTCCCTCGACGATTTCTGTAAGATCCCCTTGTAAAAACCTCTGGATCAGTCATGAATCGTAGAAACAGAGCCCCACAACAAGAAACCTTGGACCAACAGTTACATCATCCCAAGAACCCACAAACCTGACACAAACCTGCAACCAACCCTTACAGGAATCCTTCTCGGCCGCGATGCTGCGTAGCGCCGCAAAGGCTCCCCCCGAACCGGTCACGGACGTGATGCCCACGAGCTCCGACTGGAGGCTTTGTTAAATTAATGAGAGCAGGGTTTTCACAGTTGTGAGCCGGTTGTTGTGTTTGAGTTTCGAGGCTTATACGAGATTCTGCTATGGGGGCTTGGTCATGTTTTATTGCTGGATTTTGTAAGGGCTTGACACGAACAGCTGGGTCCAAAGGTGAAAACTAAGAGCTTAGTTAGGGTTTAGGAGTTTAGAGTTCAGGGCTGAAGGGTTCAAGGGTTTTGGACTCTGGGTTTAAAGGGTTTTAGGGTTGACGGCGTTACTGTTCAGGCGTTCTAAGCAACTTGGGGCCGGCATCACTTAGACCTCCGGGGTTTATGCTACTTTTTCATGTTTGTGTCTGAGGCTGTGAGTCGATGTGAGCAGTTTTTTGCACAACACTTTCGAGATGCTTGGCGCCGACACACAAGTGACCAGCTTTTTCCGTAGTCGTGCATGTAGCAACGACAAAAAGAACATCGGACCCTCACCAACTTTACAGAAGTCTAACAGTCGCCAAATAATATTCACTGTGCCTCGAGACCTGACAGGTTTGACGGAAGGATGAACTCGACGAGCATATCAGTTCGCAACAGTTATGTGCAAAGCCGGGAGGGCAGAAAACATAAGATCCTGATGTGGAGCGCTGGATAGCAGGATACTTAGTGACTTAGTGTTTTCATTGCAGGGGTGCCACACTTCACGACAAGGAAAGCTACCAGTGTGTTGCTGGCAACGAGTGCAGTAAGCAGCTTGTCATTGCTGTGGCAGCTCTGAGTGTCCAAGTTGCTCAACAATCCACTTCCCAAGCCCACTGATCTTGCAAGTAGCCACTCAGAGCCCTGAACTCCTAAACCCCTCAAGCCCTGAAGCACTAAACCTGAAACCCTGGGTTGGAAGCCTAAAACATCCTCAACCATGAAGTCGAGCAGGCCAGGCCTCCACAGATGAGGCATCACCGCCGAATTCAGGATCACCCCAACAAACCACCTGGCTGTCCGAACCTGCGAAGGATGCGGCTTCGAGGGGTCTGATGGTCTTCGGAACTAGGGCTTGGAGCCATAAGAATGAGAATGAAAACATCTGAGCCTGCAGTCCAACTGCAAATACGGAGAGGATTGGGAGAGGATTCAAATTTCCAAGAAACGGAGCGCGGCAAAAGCCCTGCTTGTGGCAGTCAGCTGCTGGATGCCCCTGAGATTTCGATACGAGGACAAAGCTTAAGGGATCGGGCTTAGCATTCAGTCACAGCCGCAAGTCACAGCGGCACGTCGGGTTTAAGATATCAACGTAGTCACATTTCTGGCGCTGCCCGGGGCTTGGGCTGCTCTCTCACAAACTGCGTCGCAAGTTCAGTGAACGCAGGAAGTGCCGTCACGCGACAGAGCCTGGAACCAAAGACCCCGTACCTGGATCCCCCCCAAACTAAACAGCAGTGCCGTGCCTGCTATTGCCGGGCACTTCCAACGAAAACAACAACACAATGTTTTTCCCTGCTAATCGTGGTCAACACCAGGTCAACACTGGGAGCACTTCTGCATGAGGGATTCCGACTTGTGCCAAGTCGCGCTAGGAATGCCGTCGGTTTGATGTCGGAAGGTCGTGAGCTGTCCGGAACATGCAAGAGATCTCAACTGTGGCAGTGACACAGAGAGGTGTGCAATTAAGACATAGGGCGAAGGACTGATAGCTGCTAGTATCGTCTTGCTCCAACGTTGCCAAGGTTTCTCAACCCAGGCGGTCGAAAGTCGAACCATGAGAATCCCAAATGTCCTCGGGCTCAAGCTGCTCTAGTGATCCCCGTAAACTCCCAAACTCAAAAAGCCACAAGAACTCTTGAAACCCAGACAGCAAAACCTTAAAACCCCCAAAATCCCCGTTATAAACCTCTGACGCGCCAGACCCCAACCCCTGAACCCTAGATTCGAGCAAAAAGGCCAGAGCTGATCCTGCACGCTTGCAGAGCATCCGCCCATGCGTGAATCACCCCACGAAATCACCTGCAGCTGCCATCCCGAAGCAGATGGTGCCTACTTGCTTCTGAGAACCGAAAAAGGAGTCTATACAGTTGAGTCAAGGTACGGTCCCCGGTTGAGGGTCTGGTTTCTGGAGATTCGGGCAAAGTGTAGGGCTTCGGGAGAGCAAGCCCCCAGTTCAGCAAGTTTCTGGTGCTTGTCATGAAAGTACAGTAGTTCGAGGCATCGTCAGACAATGCATCCGAAACTGTGCGTGCTTTGGAGTAGCATCGGGAACAATGATCAGGCGGCACCCACTGGAAATTTGCAACCAGAATGGCACAACGCTAGAAAGCGAGGATGCTGATGGATGCTGAAGATCCCAAGCCCCCAAACGCTTAAAAGGTTCATTTTCATCGTTGGAGATTTCAAGATGGAACATTAAAACCGGCAGAGCAAGAACATGGTGAGCACGTGCAAGACCCTTGTCAACTGCCAAGATCATGATTCGCACGTGCAGCAGCGCTGATGAGCTCGATGCCGGCAGCACGGGTCGTGAAACGGAGAAAGTTTACGAGCAAGTACATGATGAGGGTGATGATGGTGATTGCGATGGCGATGGCGGTGGTGTGATTGTGACCGTGATGAGGGCGATGGGCGATGGTGGTGGCCATGAGATGCCATGAGTCGGACGTTGGTGGCCGCCTTCGTGCTGAGGATCAGGATGGTGAAAATGTGGGTGGCGAGACGGATATTGGCATTGGTCATGCATATGCTGCATCTGCTGGTGATGATGTGGGCACTTGCACTGGTCTTCGTTCTGGTGTCTGCGACGCTGCTGACGAAGATGGTGGCGACGATGATTCATCCCTGGACCCCGTCCCTGGTAACACCCATAATTCAGAAAAACGGATGTGCCAGGAGACCAACTACATCAACGCTACTCGTCATGCCACCCTACTAGATCTAGTGGTGTAGCTTTGACGCAAGCTACCGGCGTAGCCGTTGTACATGTGTGGCGGAGCCGTTCTGCTACTTTGGCATAACTGTTATACATATGTGGCGGAGCCGTTCCGCCACTCTTGTGGCGGAGCCGGTGTGTGCAAGTCTAGTTCTCGAGGCAGGGCCATTGCACATGCAGTCAACGGAAGGTGCGCTGAGTGATGCTGCTAGTTATGCAAATCGTGATATAGCTGTGAGGCCTTAAAGAGGTGCTTTGTAAAACGGGGGAATAACCCAACCTGCCTTCGACAGATCCGTAACATGAAAAAGAATAGTCCCTCAAATCCCCAAGGAACTTAACTAGTATCATAGTGTGCTGGTTCGAAATTATTCCGAACAAATTCAATGGGATCTCGATGGATTCCTGTGACATGAAATAGAACTTTTTGTAATTTAATCTACGTCTGCTGGCACTCGGGTTCGAGACCCCCAAAACCACGTCTGCTGCTTTCACTTCGGGTCGAGGCCCCCGAAACGACGTCTGCTGCTTTCAGTTTGGCTCCAAGTCGCACAGACCAGAAATGCTTGGGCGCACACAACGGCTGCTGCGCCTTCTGAAGGCAGTGATGCAGGTTAGGGTGGAGGTAAGGTCCTTGTTTACAACTTTACAGCTTCGACTGGCGCATCTCTTCACTGCCCTGCGTTGCTTTCGGCCAGGTATCTGCGCGCCCCGCACCGGGAAGGGACCGATTGATGCGCAGCTCGAAATAACCCCCAAGATCCTCGCCTCATGACATTCGATCCTTTGAATGAATGTCAAGCATGACCTGCACGACAGACGTCAACACAAGAGAGAATAGGAATCACCTACACAGCGGCCACAAGCAAGACCGAAACAAGTGTCACGTCTTTATACGGATTGTATCCTTAGGCAGTCCTTACTTCTTTAGCCAATGTCCTGTCTTTCCCCCGTCTCCTTATTCCCCTTTTTGTTCTGTTTTACATGCCTCCATGTTCTCTCGAATCGCACAGTTCGTAATGTTTTGCCCGTTTTCTACCTCTTTTTTCCACGACTTCTCATTTAATTTCAAGATATTTCCGCTGAATTCCTATGTCTTCCTGGATAAGTTTCTTTTGCTTGTCCTTACTGTGCCACATTTACTGTGCTCTCGCTTTCCCATAAACTCGCACTTGCTTCATGTTTTCGCTCCAATTCTCATTTTCCCAACATTCTAAAACTTCCAAAATGCCAAGATTGCTAACATCCCTTACCCCAATGTCTCCAATATGAGCTTCGGCTGCCAGGCCTGCGAGCCGCGACGGCACCACAAAACCTCGCAGCCTCCGCCTGCAAATCCACGCGGCTAAACTTGCCGGGGCGGCTTGCTCAGGTGTGTAGACAACTTGACTACGGCGTGCAAAATCGATCTTGATGAGATGCCCTACTGTAACAGGTGCTGTTGCAGCAACGCGTGGCATCAATGTATTTGTCGGACGTGGCATAGCCCACGGTCGCGACTATGCCACCATCATGCTGTTCTGCGCTTGGGATGCGAATCCAAGCGCGGATTGGAAGTGGACGTGAGATCGTCAGGAAACACAAAATCCATGACGGAAGTCGCGCAGGGAAAACTGCTTCACCTCGACAAGGTCCGTTATTTTTGGCCGAAGTCCTACCAAAGAGCCTGTCAATCGGTGTCAGCAAAAGGCAAGCTCTTGACAAAGAAGGTACGCGGGCATGCGCCTGCAGAGATGTTTTGGGAACATGCGTGCATGCACCATAAAGCGCACCATTGATGCAGAAAAGCCTCGCAAAGGACCCACACATAGTGGTCGAGGAAAAGGTGGCCATTGAGGCAGAAGTGGCTTGTAGTGAGGAAGTTTAAAGCCAGAAGCTACGAAAATAATCTTTTCAGTATTGACTTCGTTTTCGTGACGAAGCCTGTGTAGGTTAAATAGAGCTTGCAAGTGTATCCAGCGATTATTTCTGTTTTGCTCATTGCTGCTCCAATGGCGATATCTTATTACTGTATGTATATACAGAGAGTATCTATAAGTTGACACAAAAGGGACGCGAGACGGCAAAGATTTGAAGTTTGGAGTGAAACGGAAAATGGTTATGGAGAATTCAAAACGATAAGCAAATGGCCAAACTGGGACCAGAAACAGTGGGGAAGCAAAAGCACGAAGCCAATCCAAGCACAAAGCCACATAAAAAAACAAAACGACACTCTGGGAAAATCCAGGAAAACTATGAACAACTTCTTGGTCTTCGAGAACACGCACCTATCCCTGTGTATTCCATATTTTTCTGTAGTCTTTTCGTGCTTCAGTGCCGTTAACATTGAATGCGCTTTCGCTTGCTGGGCTTAGGGCTCAGCTGCCCCGACCCCCAGGGGTTTAGCGCCCCCCCGCTCCCCCCGCTGAGTTAATGAAAGGGGCGGCATTGGGGTCTCTGGCAGCAAAGAACCGCTGGAGTGTGGCACATGGCATCGGACTCCACGTCCCTCATCTGCGGGCTCACAGAAGGCCAAACTCTTTCGAAGATTTTCGCGTGTTCTGCTTTGGTGAGGGGCCGCTCGAGGTTGCTCGCAGTGACAGTTCCGGCTCCGCGTAGTCGTCGTACCCAACCTCTTGTCCGGCACATTGAGTTCATCATGCCACTCGAGCTGGAGAGCGCCACAACCACTTAGACTTGGCGGCGAGCTGACGACAGAGCAGGTCATAAGCCCCCCAGAAATTGTCTTCGTCCAGGTCCAGGAAGGCGTGCAGGATCTTCTTGCCCTTGTTTCGCCATCCCCTCTGTTCTAGGGCAGAGGCGACAGCTCAGCTTGGTGACATCTAAGGAGGTCTTTCGCTGTCAGTCTCTCTCTCTCTCTCTCGCTGTCTCTCCCTCTCCTTCGTTTCCGACTAAACGTAAGCACTCGAATTTACAAGACAACAAGGGAGCGCGTAGTTCGTAGGCGCATCTCCTGGAAAAGCAATGTCTTTCGTATTTCGTTCGTGTTGTAGCATCTTAGTTCAAACTGTCCTTTTATCTTCCGTTTAGACGACAAACAAACAAAACATCATGTCTCCAGATACATGTTCTACTGAAAAAACAAAAGCAATGAGGATCATTTGCAAATACAAGAAAACGCAGTGCTTTTGTTTCATGTTTATTTCGTGGGATACGTGGTGAGATGGCAATTGCAGTTTCGTGGGGCGCAAGAAACGGGTCCGGGGGCTTAAAACACGGGAGAAAAGACGAGTTCAGGGGTTAGAGAAACAAGCAGGGGTCCCAAAAAAAAGGGTGGGGGGGACACAAAACGAGGGCCCCCATGACTAACGTCAAAGTTCTCATCTTAGACCCGTACGTCAACTTCACGTTCAAGTTCTACTGGTCTTCCCCGCCCCTGTTTCGGAACTTCGTTCATATTCGTTCTCGCAATCCTGTTCATGTGCATGAATTAACTGCCACCATGCCTGCCTTCTTCAACCCATGTCGGCCCAAAACCCAACACCCCAGTAACCCTAAACCCCTAGTCCTAAACTCCATAATGCACCCCCTGAACCCGAAGATTCCCAAACCCCAAATGGCCAAAAGGACGAGGCACAGTGCCATCCGCCCGGAGGGCTGCAAAGGCAGAGCTGGTACCGCAAAGCCTTGGTTTAGACTTTGGGGTTGGAGCTACTGGGCTCCAGTCAAGGAAGTTAGCTTCAGGTACCTATAAATTACTATAGATCCCCATAGGGGTAACTTGACTTCGATTCCTTAACAACTTAACATGAACCCATGTTGGAGGTTTAAGGGTCTTGGGGCTTCGGGAGTGATCATCACTATGACGACTTCTGGTGATGTCGGAGTGCTTAGGCTTCTGAACCTTGGGCATGACTTGCCGAAGCACTTACCTTTAGTTAGTAGGGGATGGAAGAATGGCAGTACGAGAAGTAATAATCGTACCCCATTCCTCCATTCCCTATCAACCGAAGGTAAGAGCAAGCACAACGTCATGTACTGTATACCCCAGCACTACTGCGACTGAACTGAATACTAAATGATAGCAGTGATGGTATCATGCCAAACAATCTGGCAAGGCCACTACAAGTGGAATAATCAGACCTACTAGCACTACTAGGACTGATACGCGATGGTTCTGCAACTGGGCGGGATATCCGCACGATTGAGGAAACGGCACATAGGCAGAAGCTACAAAGTGTCGTATTTGACATCAACCTTCACAATCGACATGAGAGCGCTGAACCTCAGTTCTGAAGTCTTGTGTCATTGTCCAGCCAAGGGACGCCTGGACATTCTGCAGCTCATCCTGGAGATGGCCTTGCACCGCGTTCGGGATGTTGAGTCTGGCCCTGATGTACAGTGCGTGCCGCATGGAGGTGAAGTCTAAAGATCGCTAGTCGTGGTAATGCTCAGTGCGCTGGGCTTTCATAGGAACGCGTGCAAGGGTCACATGGTTCAGCAGCATCAGGAACTCCCGTTCTCTCGGGTCCAGGATGCCGATTTGAAGCGCTTTCTGGAACCTAAACCCCATACCCAGAACGGGCATATGTACTTTGCGTCTTGGGCGCTAACGTCCAGACCGTGTCCCCACGTCACAACAGTACCTGCGAGAGTTGTCTTTGCTTAGACACTGGGTTCACGCCCTGTTTCAATTTAGCCTGCTTGGTCTAGGCTTCAATTTAGAGTTCTAGGTGGGGCTTCAGCTTAGGTGGGATTAAGAAGTCAGAGCCGCAACCGCAAATCCTCGAACTTCGTATTACATCGCTCGACCACCCCAACATCCAAGTGATACCTAAGCTGTCAGCCGACAAACTCGGGTTTAGGTTCCGGGATCTGAGATTTAGGCGGGTCGGGGTTAAGGAAAAAACTCTGCCCGTTAAGGGTGTAGCGGCCGCAGAAGTGAAGGCATAACGATTCTCGGAGTCGTAGTTGTAAGGAGAGCAAGACTCATTAGTGCATCTGTACCCATCGCCGCTAGAACGGGAGAAGCTAATACGAACAAACTGAGAATAACATGACATACATGCAACTGCAGCAGTAGTAGGTGGATGAGCACTACTAGTATTTGTTGGACGTCACAGAGTGTCTGACAGCTCTATTGCCACGATTGTTCCTCTTGTGTGCTGATCAGCTAGTCCGTGAAATTGTCTCGGTGTGCGTGTCTGTTTGTGACTGCTTGGAGCAGCTGCAATGAGCGTACGGTGACCAGTGGCAGCAATGCAACTCGAAGAGTACACTATGGCAGCAAGCAGTGATACAACACAGCAGCGACATCGAGCACAGCGACAGTGGTACAAGTGTTGGTCTGTGCATGGCATGCCTCCCAACGCAGTGCTGCAGGATTTGGAGTTACATGATGGGTCGGGTTGGGAACCAGGGCCCCGAACCCCGATTGAATAGAAACCCCCAAGCCCCAACGGAATCATCGCCACATTGAAACACAGCCCACACAATGGGCCCAGCCCAACCCAAGCACTAAACCGCCCTACAGTGGAGGGCACCGTCAGCTTTGCGCATTGCAAAGGTATGGGCAGTTGCACATAGCTCCTGGCAACATCGGGACAGACACATTCAATTTCGAAGATCTAGGGTTCTCGTGATTTGTTAGCCATGGGTAAAGGGTATATAAATTGGCACAACGTTGTCACTGAACGCGATTGTACGTCTCTGCGCATCTATGGATGGTTGGGTGTTTGTTTATCGCCGATTAGCCATGCATCGAGTAACGGTTCCTTGGGCTGAGGAGCTGATACGGCCACTTCACCGCGGAGTTATAAGCTTTTAGGGTGCCGGCAGCACATGGTGATAGCCGGCTGCGGCTTGGGACACGGTTGTGGAGACCTGGGCGTGGATTGACGCTTCATGGATGGATCTGATATGTTTGAAATACACAGGACACAGGAGCTTGGCTTTTCTTGTGGCCGAGGCTTTTACCGTTTTGGCTTCAATGACCCGATGTGCAGTAACACAGAAGAAACTGTCAGGATGGGTGTTGCGTAAATACGTTTGTGGAATCATGGATTTACTCACCAGGGTCGGGAATTTGGGCTCGCATCCTGCATCGGCTATATTGCAGAAGCATGTGCTCCTGGGCATCTCGAACCTCCATAACTTCTCGTGGGCGATTCCCGCCGTATCCGGTCTCGGTGGGATTAGTGCGGGTATCTTGGCTTGAGGGTGTACGGCTTAAGGATCCGGGATTTAATGCAAAGCTCAGGCCTTCGAGTTTGTTTCCCTCGTTTCAATTCTGAAATTTTGAGAGCTTGCAGACAGAAAACAAAGCCCCAGCTGACCACAGCACCGTCGGCGCGGCGGGCTGCAAAAGCAGCGGCGGTACCACCTAGCACGTGTGTGTAGCATAACTTTCAACTATAAGTGACAGTTCGTATACTTGTACGCCAATGTGCACAGACATCATATAAATACATGCATATAAGTTACAGTTCGTATACTTGTACGCCAATGTGCACAGACCTCATATATATATATATATATATATATATATACATGCATGTGATTACGTCATTCCGTTCGTCCCTCCGTCCGTCCTCTCGTCCATAAGTATGCATGTACGTATGTACATATGCATGACATATTCACGCATGGATGCGTGTATGTATGTATGTACGTAGGTATGTATGTAAGTATAAGCATCTCGGCTCTAGGATGCAGGTCCTGAGGACCAGAGAGCGGAGAAGGCCACCCTGGTGGCCGAGCTGCGCTCGAGGGGTGTCGTTCTCGGTGAGGTGGTTGCTCTTTTGGTTTTGGATTGGGGTTGGATTGAAACAAAACGTGGCCTCGGAACCTACCATGCCATGGCACCTTCTACCATGGACCTCTGCCCTCTGCATGGCACCAACAAAGTGCCACGGAAAGCACTATGGTGGAGACAACAAGATGGACATGAAAAGCAGATCTACGACCTGGCCATGGAATACCTCTGCTTGGAGCTTCGGTCCTTCCCTATTGGGCATCGCACTGACCTGCAGAACAGGTATGGCATACGGTGGCAACGAGAAGGCTCATATGTGGTCTGGCAGCAAGCCTGGGCCTGGCTTGAGCCGGACCGGAAGCCGGAGTTCATTCGTAGAACGTTCCACATCAATGTCACCTTTGCTAACAGTGTGCTGGAAGGGGCTTATGCTGCTGACTTGTGCAATACAGTTTATCTTGATAGGATGGATTGAATCTAGCATGACAGCGGCCCTCCTGAGAGCTCTCCATGGAGCCTATATGAGGGCACGACGAGGACAGCACCATGAAGATGACCACTTCCAGCAGGCGCTCGGGTTGCAACTTCTCCCTTACATCAGTGTGCTCATATGCCTCAGCCTGCTGGTTCGAGAGTGTGGAATGTATGCTGTGCTACAGGTGCGACTACCTGTGCACCCAGCTTCCCACACCATTTCGTGCCCCAGACACGTCATGACTGTGCATAGGTTGTTGCAGTGCTGTGTGTGCGTGGGCAGAGGGTTGATATCCGCTATCTTGACAACTGTCCCTGCTCGACTTGCACAGTGGGCTCAAAGGGCGCAATCTGGAGCAATCCTGGGATACTGGGCAGGGTGGAACATGGAGAACGCCAATGCTACCCTCCGGGCGGACGACTCGAGTGGGGAAGACGAAATGGCACTGCCGGCAGACCCGGCCTCGGCACCCCGGGGCCCACCTGCTCCGACGCCAGTTCAGTTCCACTATGCGGAGCGCTCCTTGTCGCAGCACATCTCCTCGGACATTGCGAACTCGCTCCGCACGAGGGGCCAATCCTCGATGGCGATCCTCACGGTGTGTGACGCCACGTTCCGCCACACGGGAAACGTGGGATTCATCAAGGTCCTGATCTCCAAGATGGAGCCGGTGGACATCTCCCACCCCTACACCTTGTACACCGGGGACTCAGTCGAGGAGGCGAATGCCATTGAGGTCGCTGCGGAGTCGGTTGCAGCAGGGGAGATTGAGCTTGGAGGACCGACAGGGAACCCAGGCACGGCCAGTGGATCCTCGCGGATGTCTACCAGACGCATGGAGGCCGAGGGCTCAAGTACCAGGAGCTCGCGAGACGGTGGAGGTGACAACCACAACAACAACAACATGCAGAACCCGATGCCCAAGCCCAAAGCCAACCGCATGTCCTGGCCTCATTTGCTCTTATGGTCACTGCTCCGACACACCATGGCTAGCTCACCGAAGCCCTGCCCACAGCTCTGCCCACATTGCCCCACAGGCGCAGACATGAGGACAGTACATAGTCTGACCGAGCGGACTGACAGCGATAGGTTTGTCTCTTGCTCTCCGAGTGAAGTCTGGCCTGTGGAGGGGCCGACAGGGTCAAAAGGCCTGACATGTAGCTATGACCCAATGACCTGGAGAATGCGAGACTCTTCCGAAGCGGAATGGCCAAAAGACACACAGCTGCAGCGCGAGGACAATTATGCCACCCCAATCTCAAACCTACGGGCAACCACATGGCATGGGAGGTACAGATGGAGGCAGCACTTGAGTACTTGGGTGTGGGCCTTATCCTCCTCGGGCAGTACCTCAAAGTTGGTAGGAAGGCTGTACCCCTTGATGATCCAGGTCTCCTACCTGCTCGTCACGGTGTACCTGCTGGGTGACCTTCTCAGATACCACATGGTTCGCCAATTGAGCAGTGCACCCCGTACCATGGACACACCAAGGTCTACTGGTCGGGACTCGACAAGCTCACCCCACCATTGCACCCATCCTGGTGCTCAGGGCCAGAAACTCAGACAACCAAAGAGCCGCCCAGGTCCCAAGTCCTGGGGTCGTTGTGGATACAGCATCAATCAGTACATGTGGCACAAGATGCTTCTCTTTTACGTGATGACACACACTTGCAAAGCCATGCACACAACGACTGATGCGAGGGTTTGGTTCCCAGAGCACCACTGGAACCATGAAGCCACACAACAGACCACAGAGGTCCATGCTTGGGCGAAGCCTGGTGTCAGCAGCCACGCAGCCCACTTACACCCTCAAGGAGTTCACAAAAAGAAAGCGCTCAACCAAGCATACCGCAGAGCACTTCATGATCCCACTGGACACACATGGTACAGGGGACAACGTATGCATCACAGTCGATTCTCTCCAGGTGAACGACCACTTGGTCACCGAGACAAACCCAGGCAGATCCACAGCGGCAGGGCACCACGCCGTTTGAGGATAGTGACTTGGAACACGGGAGGCCTCAGCAGTGACAAGTACACAGAGATTCTGGAATGGCTCGTGCAAGAAGCAGGCACAACACACCCGGTCGATGTCATGTTTCTGCAGGAGACGTGTTGGAAACAGGACATGGAGTACGTCACGACACCGGACAGCAAAACGGCCGTCTGCTACCAGGTGATCCACTCAGCGGGACCGGACCGTACGGGCATTATGTGCCTCATACGAGCGGGCCTTCTACCGAACTCCCACATTCGACATGTCAGCTGCATACCAGGCCGACTCCTCCATGTCAAACTGCTCTTCGAGGCACCGCTGGATCTACTCGGAATATACCAATATTCCTGGAACCCTGGGAAGGTGTCCTTGGAGGGTCACAAGGTGACGGCGCTGCTGAAGCAGAGGCAGAAAATATGGAAGTCTATCGAGCAATGGCTTCGGACAATCCCTAGGCGCCATGGTTGCTTGCTACTGGGAGATGTGAACACCCCAGCCACACAGGAGTCCAATATATGCGGGCCAGGTGTGGTACCGCAACAAGTCCAACAGCGAGATCAAGAGGCCTTCCAAGACATTCTTCGGCTTCATCAGTGCTGCCTCCTCAACACCTGGACAGGTTCTGGTATGACCCAACGCACATATATCCCACCGGGAGAGCAGGGATCCAAGAATGGCACCCAGATTGACTTTGTGATTGCTAGAGATGCACTGGCAGACGACATTGCCAAACGTGCACTCCCTCTACAAACACCATTTGAACCGACCAGTGGTTGCAGGCATCGCCCAGTACAAGCCTCCATCCCGATGCCAAGGCTACCGACCAGACCCATAGAAACACAACAGCGACAGCGACCTGCTCAGGTCCACAAGGCCATGGGAGATCCTCGGAAGCAGGCCCTCTTCAGATCTATTGTGACACCAGCCTTTGCAACTGCTAGCCCGTCCGCTGATCTCGACAACATCTTGCAACAAGGTTGGCAACAGACACAACAACTTCTGAAGCACCCAGCGGGTGTACATGGGCGGGACTCCGAGCTGGAATCGCACAACCTAGTTGTGAGAGATACCATCAAGACCATGTGGGCTGTCCGAGCAGAGCTGCGGACACTGTCAGGAATTGCCAAAGATCCAGATGAAGGCCATCACCTCAGCACCCTATGGAAGGCCTGGGCGACTGCTGCTAAACTTCAGGGTATTACCCGAAATCTACGGCGAGAATGCAGGCGACGGAAAACCCTACGCATACAGGAGGTGGTCCAGTCGGATAACATTCACCAAGCAGCCAAGAGATTTGCCCCGAAACAGGTGCGACGCCGATTGCAGCTTCGTTCAGAAGAAGGCCGCATACAATCACAGGAGGCTGAGTTTGAGCAGATCACCAAATACTTCTCGACACTGTTTGCAGGCCCAACGAGCACCCCCGCGGAGCTCTCGGAGGACATATATTTCCACGAGCAGGAAATCCAACAGGCTCTTGGGCGACTTGCCGCGGGTAAAGCCATGCCCACCACTAGTGCCCATGCAGCTCTGTGGAAGGCCGTCGCGCATCAGGCGGTACCAGCGCTACAACAACAACTCAATTGCTGCCTCCAACGAGGCACCTGCTCGCTGCCGGAAAAGTTCAACATTTCTGAACTAATCCTGTTGCCCAAGCCGGGCAAGAACCTATGTTCTCCTGACCAGCTGCGGCCCATCAACCTCCTCTCTCTTCAAGCCAAGGTCTTGGGGGCAACGATTGCAGCCAGGCTGCAACCCTACGCGGTGGAGTATCTCAGGGAGGTGCCACAGTTTGCCTACGTGGGGGGCAGATCGCTGAGCATGGCCTTGGAAAGAGTGGCAAGCCACTGTGCGGTGATTCGCAAACTCCTGGGTGACCAGGCATCCAACCTACACGCCAGACGTGCTGGCAGGAAGGCAGCTCAGGTCTGTGGTGGAGTGCACCTCTCATTAGATATATCCAAAGCGTATGACCGGGTACCATGGAGTGACCTAATCTTGGCTCTGCGGGAGGCCCTGGTCCCAGAGCCCCTCATAGAGCTGATCCTACTGATCCACCAGCAGGCAAAGGTGAGAATTACCCATGGTGATAGTAAAGCTTATGTACAACTGGGCCAAGGACTTCGCCAAGGATGTGGGCTCGCGCCCATACTCTGG